GTGTTATTATCCCCTTCTTTTTGCCAATGTGCTTTGGATCTTTGCTTCCACATTTGCTCCTCTTGTATCAAAATCTCATTCAACTGAATGGAAATATCCTTTTTCTTAATCAATTCATCATCATCCAAATCTCTACTTTCCTCTAACACTTCCCATTCTAAGAGATTACCCAACAGCTCCTTCTTTTTCTGTTTAACACTATAAAAATTGGAATGAATCCATTGCTTGATGCATTTCTCATAAATCTTAATTTACCAATAATATTCTTGGCAGCAGATGAACTCTTAGGCGCACACTTCCACCATAAAGGCACATCCTTCTTAAACTCCTCGGATTGTAACCAAATTTTTTTGAACCTGAAACTTTTAACAAATTGTTGATTATCCCCACAATCAAAACTAATTGGAGCATGATCAGATAATTGACTGCAAAGACCTTGTTGTCTGAAAAAAGGAAAAACATCTTCCCATTCAGAATTTAAAAAAACTCTATCTAGTCTAGCCATAGAAGACAATCTTCTTTTATTAGACCAAGTAAATTGTCTCCCATGTAAAGGGCTATCAATCAGTTCCAACTCATTAATCACCTCTTTAAACTCTTTCATTTCTTTTCTATGATTAGTTTTACCTTTTCTTTCAGCAGCATTAAAAGTAACATTAAAATCTCCCACAACAACCCAAGGTCCTGAAAAATTATTTTTAATATTTCTAAGCTCCTGCCAAAACAGAGTTCTCTCACTATTACAGTGTGAACCATAAACTGAAGAAATGTTCCAAACAAAACAATTTCTCTTATTTTGTAAAACCACAGTCAAAACAAACACACCAGAAGAATCCTGCAACTTCTTCCATTTGTTACTATTCCAACCAATCAAAATCCCACCAGAAGCACCAATGGAGGGTATATAAACCCACTCAAAAATATTGCCTCCCAGGATTTTTAAAATTTTATCATCAACATAGCTCAACTTTGTTTCTTGTAAACAAATTACTTCAAATTTTTTTAACTGGCAAAAATCTTTAACTCCAAATCTTTTGGTACTCAAACCAAGCCCTCTTACATTCCATGTAACCAACATAAGAAACAACATTAAACTCCTCAAGCACAAAGAAGCAGAGTCTACTCAAATGTAGCTCTCTCCTGCTCCATTTGCCTCACTTTTTTTAAGGGATCAAAATCCCCTTGAGGTTCAAGAATATGGCACAATTTGAAGCAAATCTTTTTAACTGCTTATCAGAACAAACATAAAAAAGAATAGGAACAAAAGAAGAACCCAAAGAAGAAGAGCTTTCACCTGAACCACTTGCAGAAGCTCCGTGAGAACTTTTATTAGTATCTTTCACAACAGCTCTTGAAGTAGCTCTATCCAAAGCAGTCATAGGTTCATAATCCACAAACCTAGAGCATCTTCTTACATAAGCAACTTTTGAATTGAAACTAGGATCTGTAGGAGGTAAGGAATTCAGAGGTTGAATAATTGGGAAGTCCTCTTCTTTTTCTAAACCTTCCTCACTGTTGAAAAGCACTGGCAACCATTTCTCACCATCATTATTTTCATTAGCCATAATAGCTTTGCAGTTAGAATCTTCAGTTAAAACATTTCCTTCTTTCTCCTGAGCTACATTGTCTTCAGAAAAGATAGGAGACAAAGAGACATTCAATTCCACCTCAGTCTCTTTACTCTTATTATCTTCACCATTCACATCTTGATCAACCAACATTTCATTTTTCAGAATCTTCACCTATTCTATAACTTGCTCAGCGTCAATATCTTTTGAAGAATTATCTTCCCAAATTCCCCACACAGACTTTTTATTTTGATAAAAAGACTTAGCTTCATTCCACAATCTGGCAGCTCGAGAATCCCATGGATTATTCCGCAAGTCTTGTCTAACAGTCCATGAACTAGTATAAGAAGAACCAGATCCACTATCATTTCTCCCCTTAAACCATTTATCCTGGTAAAAACTCTAATTGTTATCTTCCATATAGTCCACTTTCTGTTTTTTCTTTTCAACTTCAACAATTTCACCCATATCGACATAATAGAAACTTCAACATTATACTGATTTTTTCTAACAAAAATCTTCAAGACTTTAGGAATGTCAATATATTCTAAACATCTGACTAACAAAACAACATCCACAAACTCAGAACCAGCATTTGTCAGCGGATCAAGATCAACTAAATCAGCAAAATGCTTCACCATCAATTCAAGGGATTCTCTATTCCATAAATGAGGAGGAACATGTTTCAATTTGATCCACACCTAAGAATTTTTCTTTTCCACCACATTCCCTTCCCAAGCATTCCATCTTTGAAACTTAATTTTACAAGATCTTAGAGATATAACTCCCATCTTTATTAAATCCTCTATTTGTCTCCACGGCTGAATTTTAACTAAACTTCTCCATTAGTAAAAAGTCTCACATCCCAATGTTTATTTAACGGAAAATAAGCTCTCAAATCTAGCTCCAGCCTTTCTAAAGAGACATTATGCCCCTCAATAAAAGATATTATAGCAAAATTTCTGAAATTTTGAAAGCCAGGATTCACCTCTCCTTCAAAACGAAGGACAACAGAAGAAAAACGAGAACGATCACCTGAGATCTTCAGTTCAGCCTCCAGATCCCCAAAATCTCTTGGCCTATGATATTGACACTGGAAAACATTTTCTTGCCCTTCAACAACTGACGAAAGAGGCCTTTTGCCTTTATCTTGCCGCCGTAAAGTATCCTAGTTCCTTGAAGATGATTGAACTGATGCCGTCCTCTCCCTACGCCATTGCCAATGATTCAACCGACCAGCACCACCACCATTATTAGGGTTTTGCCCAAAACGATCATCACCACCACGGTTCCCAAAATTACCTCCAGATCGACCACCAAAATGGCCACGCCCACCAAATCCAGATCCTCTACCTCCATTACCACGACCTCCAGCTTCAAATCGAAAACAATTCTTAGCTTCATGTCCAACTCCTTGACATCTGAAACACACAATCAGATATCTACAATCTTTCGCCATATGTTTTGAACCTCCACAACGAAAGCACAAGCGATTCCTTCGGATAAAATCAGCAGAAAGATGAAGAGGAGAAGCAAATTTTTTGATCTGAGGTGATCTAGGGTTTCGTTTAACAACGCTAACCCAATCGCCTTTATCTATATTCACTTTTAACTCTTCTAGAGA